ATCTTTTTTAGCCACAGCAATTTGGATTGGTATGAGTGTACATAGTCGAATAATCCAGCTGTTATATATATATATATGTATGTAAGATTCGAGTGACAAAAGATTAGAATTACTGCGATGAACCTAACTCACTTGTCGGCCTTGTAGCTTGAAGGTTCCAAGACATTTTTATGAAACAAAATATCACCAAGTTTCTTAACGTGAATAGAGTAATTTTCTAATGGAGTAATATCTTTTTTTGTCGCTTTTTGAACGCCCTTTAAGCTATTTTTCATGTATTTGTCATAGCCTTGTTGAAGCGTTTGTAAATCCTTCGGAACGTTCTCTGGAAAATTCTCTGGAAAATCATCTGGTAGATCCACTACTATGGTAAGTTTCATTGAGGTTTTACTATCCCGTATGCATGGTTCTATAGGATACTTGGTAAAAAGGTGTGAATAGACGTCGATATAACCGTTTGATCTGACCTCTTCCTTTAGATCATATTCTCTCTTCCATGCATGCTGAAAGTCTTTGCAAGCTCGAAGTTGGTCTGCTTTTACCTGACTAGAATGTAATGTGTCATTTCGAATGTTTCTTATTTTCTGTTTCTCAGTATCTCGTTCGCCTGCATATTGATCGTGATCACCTGAAATTATGATCTTTACTGAAACCAATTTGGTGAGTGTTTTATTGAAAACGACCAAATGCTGCTGTGTCCGTTCGAAAACCATGAGTCGACAACGTGATAACCATTGCGCAGGTAATGGAATGTCGATTTCAAGTGGCTCACACTGATCTATGAAATATACAAGTGCATGCACTTCAGGATCCTTGGAATGTAACGGCTGCTTGCCCATTAATTTTGTAGATAGGATTTTCTCATTATTGACACAATTGGTATTCTGGATATCTGCCTGATGTGTTTTTGATTCCATGAGTACAAATATATAAGAACCATCAGGTGAGCTGAGAATGGATACTGCATTTACAGGAAATTTTATAGATGCTTGCAAACAATTATTATCCAGATTGAGATAATGTGACTGTCCACTATCTTCAACAAAATATAGCATTCTCGTATTGTTGATCCAGAAAAGGTGTTTAATTGCTGGTAGATACCCAAAGTGTTCAATATATACTACTGTCTTCTCTTTTTCAATATCATACAAATTAAGCTAACAATGATAATAAGCTTAGGAAGGTTTTAGACATTGTACAACTAACTCAAATTTCTGTCACTTACCATGCATTCACCATTGTCATAAATTGCTAGCAGACCTTTTGAATCATTTACTGCAAACAATGAATTCTTTGACAGATTTAATAATCCTATTGGACATGGAATACTATATTTTTTGAATGTCCTCTCCAAGGAAGTTGGTGTCCCATAGAAGATAGCATAATTACAGCAATCTTTATCCCATAGAATGAAGATCAAATTTCCGTTATGCAATTGGTAAATGTGCCTACAAATTATTCATTCCATATCAGATCAGATAATAATAATAGAACATGTGCAAAACTTTGCAGCCACATAAAAATTATAATTATAATTAAATCTACCTGATTTCAAACTTCTCCTTGTTAATATACAAAACCTTCTGCTGCTTGTAAGTGATACCATCTTCAAGCTTGTCATACTTATTCAGTTCAAACTCCCATATCTTTAACTCATACAGATAAGGTTTGTTTATTTCAGTCACATAGTGCAGCTCATAGCAATCAAATGTGTTGTAAGTTGGTTGTGATTGGTTATGATATAATTGTTGCATTGTAGTTATCTTTTGCAACTTAGTGATGATAATTTGTGATCTAAATAAACAGTATTAAGTATGTAAATTACTTTTCTTAGAATAATGGATCACTACAATCATACTTTACCCAGTGGTAGTTGAGTATAATGATTCAAGTTTAGCCTTCAATATCTTTGATTGTTCTTCACAAATACATTCTTTCTTTCTTGTGTATTCACTGAAATTTTTACAGTTAGTCTTTAGGCTTATATCTTTTTCCAAACATTTTCCTAGCCTTTTCCCAAACTTGATTTTCCAATTCTGAAACTCTTGAGAAAACATTGCAATAATGCCTTTCATCACTGTCTTAGGGGCTGCCAGATTCTGTAGATTACATAGACACTTAATAAAATCTGAATCTGATATTTGTTCTACCATTTTTGTAGCTTGCTCAAGAATGTTCTTGGTCTCTTGATCACATTCTTCTTCTAGATCTGCTTGATCCATAAAACATTCTGCCACTTTCTGTATAAGACTATAACAAGTATTAATTTATACATAATGAACACCAGGGCTTTCTTGAACAACTGTCATTAAATTATTGTTCCAAACCTGTTGATATCACCAATTCTTTTACTTGACAAGCTGTTTCCTTGAGTGTTTAGAACATCTAAAAATGTATCAAATCCATTTCCTGCTAATCCACTCAAATAGTAGAATTTTTTCTTCAAAATTTTCCAGTTTCTATTGTCAATTTCAAGAGCCATACTCTTGATTTTGTTACAAAGTTCTTTATGTCTCTTATAGAATGTGTTCAGCTCTGTTATGTAAAAGAAAAAAAACTGAGTAAAATGTATTCAAAATAATTTCTTAAATACCAATACCACCATAATTACCTTTACTGTCTTCCAGTGAGTTGAAAGAGGTATCTCTAGACTTTTTCTCAAACATGCTAAATATTATAGTAATACAAGTTGTAGTTATTACCTTATTATTATGTTTTGTAAGATGCAAGTAACTCAGTCTACCTGTAATTGTCTTGCAAAATTGAAAAAGCCCATTCAGTTAACTTTTTTTTGTATTCACTCAGAGAGTTTTCTGTTTGATCTTCCAAACTCCTCATCTGATCTTCATAATCTTCTAAGAGCTCAAGCTGGTTTAAGCCATCTTTGGTGAGGAGTGTTAGCTCATATATGCTCAAATCAGGCACACTTAAAGCATGACAATTCCCATTTAACATCAGTTTCCAAAAGTTTTGAAATTCGCATGAAGAGTTAAATCGATCAACCGTTTCTAATGTAATTGTAGACCCATTAGTGTCTTGCATGATAGCAAGGGATTGTAAAGTATTTGATTCTATAATGAAAGCTTTTGATAAATCTTCACTACATATGGCCAATTCTGGTAACATCACCTGATAATTAAGAAACGATCAGAATCTTTACAAGCAAACATTGCATTATAATAGGTTTGTTACCTCAAATCCATCTCCAAGTGAAACACTTTCTTTCTGCTCTTGATTTGTGTTGTTAACTTTAACATCCACAATGCTGTTTGTGTATGTTGAATTCACAGACAAGGGAGAATTTCTAATACTATCAACACTATATTTATATTGACTTTGATCGCTTGTGATGTTTATTTTTGCCAAAACTAGCACGTTATGTGCCAAGTCAAGCGTGACTAAATGTTGGATTTGCTCAAGATATGTTAATCGACAATGAATTAAAGAATGTGAAGGTAAAGGGATTCCGGTCTGCAATGGTTCGCACTGTTTATCTTGATTTACAAAATATACAAGCGCTTGTACTGTACTTTCATCTGTTTTTGCAGGAACTGGAACTGCTGGGTGTTTGTTTTCAATTCCTTCTAAACCCTCTCCAGTATTAACTGAGTGGTTGCCTCCTTCAATCTTGCTACCTGTCGGATTTGTAGTCTTTGGCTCGAGTACAAATATACAAGAAGGGTTTGGTGAGCTTAGGACAGAGGCTGCATCCTTGGAAAATTTTTCAAAATATTTTAAATAGCCATCGTTGTAGTCGAACGTATAAGCTTCCCCGTCTTCTTTAACAAAGAGCATTGAAGATTTACTGATCCACAAGAGGCGTTTAAGTGATAACCGAGATGTCCGTACGAGATTTGAATGTAGCGGACGCATGTTTTTCTCAACATTGTAAATATTGTAAATATTAAGCTGTAAATATTGTAAATAATCTTTTAGCATTGATGTGCATAAATACAATGTTAATTCACTTGTTACTCACAACATGTTCATCGTTATTGTACGTTGCCATAAGACCCGTTGAGTAATTTACTGTAATCAGCGAATTCTTGGGTTCATCCATTAGTCTGAACCGAGACGGCATTGAATTACGTTTGAAATTTTCCGTTAGTTCAAGAAGCGTTCCATAAAAAATAGCGTAAACATTTTTTTCGGTGTCCCACAAAATTAGAACGAATTTTCCATCATCAAGTTGGCAAATTTTCCTAAAGAAATCTTGTCAATAATAATAACAGAGACTCAAGGTCGAATACATAGTGACAACAATATCTTACCTAATTTCAAAACTCGCACTTATATACAAGATTTTTCGATATGTATTCAATAAACTTGTATTTGTGTAATTGACACTTGCATTGAGCCTGCCATAACTTCTTGGCAATTCCAATATCCTTAGTTCACAAAGAGAGTGGTTCAATACTTCAATATCATAATGAAACTCATACTGATGGGAATAGTCAAGTCCTGATATGGACAGATGTTTTTGGAATTTTTTGACAAACATTTTCTTCCTAAATTGATCAAGTAATAAGTTAGCCCAATGCATGGTAGTGAAAATTATTATAAATATACTTACCCAATGGAATACATTGATTCAAGTTTTTTCTTTAATTCTTCAGATTCTTTCTTGTTAATACGATTTAGTTTTTCCATATATTTGAAGAAATTTCCATCTTTGGACATATTTTGAATATGTGGTCTCCAACATTCTTCCAACTCTTTGTTAATATTCCCATCATCCTTCCACTGTTGATACTCTTTTCGGAGCTTCACAGTAATATTTTCACTTGCAGTGCATACTAGATCAGCAACAAAATTGGCATCTGATATATTATCAATCTCTTCTACTCCAGTCTTGCTATCTATGAAAGCAGTCACTGATGAAGTCACTCTGCAATTTAGACAACATTTACATGAGTTGATGTTGGTAAAGCATACATGCACACTCAAGCTGCTCAGATGGTAATAGTAGTATTTTACAGTGTATTATTTAAAATAACTTTTAGAATAATATAAATAATAGCTACTTACCTGTCACTATTTATTTCATACCATTTTAATTGTGATAAATTAGACTGCTGCTCCCTTTTATTGTAGAACTCATACTTTAATGCTTTCCATTCCTTTCTATCAATCTGTAAAATCTTAGTCTCCATATCTTTACAAACTTCTGCATGTCCAGCATAAACCTTTTTAAGCTCTTCATTAATTGATGTATCAGATTAGAAAAAAAAATTTTAAAGCCAATTCTTCAAAAATTATAATTACCAGGATTGTCCTTAATTGAAGATGAGTTGATACCAACAATCTTCTTTTCAAAATAACTAGATTAAAGGGTTTAAGAGTTATATTAAATATTTACTAAGACAAATTTGATGCATACTTACATATTATAATTTTCCAGTGCTGAAAGAATCCATTGATTTACTTCTTTTTTATACTCGTTAATTTTTTCATCCCTTTGTTTTATCAGTTTTGATATTTGATTATCATATGTGACTAAAAAGTCAGGTTTATCTAAACCATCTTTAATCAAAATAACTAGTTCATCCATCCTCAAATCGCTTAAACTTAGAGCATAATGTTCCTCATTCAACTTCTTTTTCAAGAACTTTTGGAAGTCATTAGAAGAGTTAAATTTTTCAGTTATTGTTTTTGACAGAGTTGTGGATTCACTAATGTTTTGCATAATGGCCAAGGATTGTAGAGCATTTGATTCTATGATGAAAGCTTTTGATGGATCTCCATTACATATGGCCAGTTCTGGTACCTTGATCTAAAAAGTAGCAAGCAAATGGTCAGAACTCAGTAACCAAACGGCATATTTTAATATGTTTATTACCTACCTCAATTTCATTTTTAACTGAAACGCCTTTTTCTTGTTGTGGACCTGTTTTAACTTTAATTTTAATAATCCTGTTTGGACTTGCTGTATTTACGGAAAAGGAAAAATTTCTTAAATCTTCTTCACTCATTAAGCAGACTTGATGGTTCGTCAATCGTGTAAGAAATCTTATAAAAAGCAACATTAGTGAAAATTTGTACGCATTGATAACGAAAAAAAATAAATAAATTGATATTTACCGGTGAAGGTTTGTTGCGCTTGTCAATATTTCTTTTTCATCGTAAAACTGCTTTTCTAGCCACAAGATTACAAAGCCAAACTTTGTACTGACTCCCACTGTAGTTTTCTGCGACTGCTGAAGATTCATATCCGACTCAATAATCAACAAATAAAGCCCGGTAGCCAATGTTTGTTCGCCTTTAATAAATTTCTCGTATCTGCATAATGTAGCATTATTGTATTTATTATCTAAGTTCTTAAACAACAACTTTCAGTACCTACCTATCTTTGTCGATGACATTGTTTTGAAGCAACAGTTTTGAAATAATTTTACAATTTCCGTAACAACCAACTAGCTGAATATCGACGTCTGCCAGTTTGTTAAATTGTATATCAGAGACCGAACGATAACTTCCGGGAACCAGCATATTGCAGACTTTTTCCAGTTCTTCTGGATGAATAATGGCCTTGTTCACTAGAGAATCACTCTGCCCTAGATATAGAAGACCATTCAAACGATATATTTCGGTAATAATTATTGCTTTACGGGCACAATTTTTATTTATCTTTCACTAATGCAAAATAAACGTACCGGTAGTGCTTTCGTCCAAACACAATTCAACAAGTTGACATAAATTCGGAATGGTTCGGTAGATATTGTTTACTTCCACAAGTTCGTCATGATTATTATCGTCTTCCTTTGCAGAAATAAATCCGCTGGAATGCTGATCGTCCGCACCCTGATCATTGAGAATTGCAGGGTACGCCGTTTTCTGACTTGGACGTTTCTGGGTAAATCTTGGTGGCGTTTCGTTTTCTAAACAGTAGTTGATTAGTATCGGTCAGTATTGCATATATACTGCGTTTATGAAATAAACGTTGCATAAAAGCTATTAGCAAACTTGCCATGTTCGTTAGCTTTTTCTTCCATGTTTACAAGTTAGAATATTATCGACGTTCTAACAGCTTATATACATTATACGTTGGCATTCATTGAAATATGTGGTATGATCTACAATGATCAAAAATAGCAACGGCTAAGCCATTGTACTATGTCATTAAAGTTTAAGACTTATGTACTATGCCAATTTGTTTGCCATTATTGAGCCAATAGAAATCTACGATAAATGTTGTGGAACTAGTTAATGGCGAGGGCAAAGTGTACATCTGTGGTACTGCATATGAAACAATCCTTTTTGTCACTGAGTATAATACATATTAACTGCGACGGCCATGTCGCACAACCTGCCAGCTCAAATATTATCCCTTCATTGCATTGGACCTTCTCTTCCATAAATAGAAATATTATGGACTGTACGACGTGAGGAGGGTTGTGCGACGTGGCAGGTAAATTCCCGATTATCATGTTGAGCATGTGTGTTAAATCTAAGACATACAGTATAAATGTATATGGGTACGGACGTCTCTAATATAAGTTACAATTAGTGGATTTGTAATTATTAAAATCCATTAAAGCTTGTTTTATACGATAGAGCAAATATTATCCACTTACTTATTTCGATAGCTAAACGTAAGTGTCTTGCACATCAGTTCACTTTGCCTTTTTTCTTTCATCTACTGTAACAGAATTCAGTTTTATTAAACAACAAATCTAACAATAACTCTACTTTAATTAACAAGCAGGACGATTACATTTTGTGTGCACTAAGAAGTTTAGCTCATTTTTAATATGGATTTAATTGCTAGCTTTATTAACCACTGTCGCTGTTCCTATTCACATTCTTTGTGTTATTGCGTGCAAGTTGCAGAAATTAATGACGTCAAACGTCAACTGGATGGCGTGATATGTTGATAATATATTTAAGGATTTTAACCTGGTTATCTCATTTTGACACATCGGGAAGTAACTCAATATTCACATACATTGTTATTGTCACCAACTTTGAGTATGGATGGTTGCGTCTCGTCTGACGACCCACGTTTAGGCAATCGGGACCATTGTCAATATATTGAGTGTTCCCAATCGTTAATTCACTAAATTGTATTCTGTTGCAGCAGGGTTTACGCTCAAGACCTAGCAAAGAGTTAAGACTTTAACCGCTAAACTAAGAAAGAGTATAAAAAGTTCGACGTGATGCCAAGCAAAATGTTAATAACTCTGCTCTCGTTGGGTTGAGCTTCCCTGAATCTAGAAGAAATACGTAGATATTTGTCTAATATGTGGCCATCGTGGCAAGTCATATGATAACAGCTAATACAATTATGACTCGTACAATTGTTAATCTCACAGGCTCATAATAAAGCAATATTGAGAAAAACTCTCGCGCTTAGCCCATCACGTCAACAAGACCTAAAAGACATTAATTAAATTTAAATATTCTATGTCTACATTATCTCAGCCACGATAGGCGATTTCAATGTTCAACTTGTTTGAATTTTATTTTATTCTAGCACAACGCGCCATTAGGTACCTGTGAATCTGTAATGCCTTTCCCTGTGTGCAAGTCAAAAAGTCCAGTCACAAATATCGTAATAGAGCCCGTTATATCCGTTATATCGTTGTAAGAATCATCACAAACCTTCTTATTTTATTATAAGCTATACATGCGGGTACCCCCTCTTGAAGTTTATCTTCTATGGCAGTAGCACCAAAATACAGATATTTTTGTATGTCAATTTAGAATTGACATATGTCAGTTGGAATAATATGTGGATTTGAGCTCGTACGTTCTATTCGTTCACTCACTCCCGTGTTAAGAAATTCGTTTCATACTTTCCTTTTTTTAATATCATCTAAAACAATCGAAGTAGCACAAACATAGAAAGCTTACGAAGTAAAACGGTCATAAAACGAAAACTTATCGAATATGGAAAAAACAGGTATCTGGTATTTGGGATTTTCAGTCTTTTGGATTTGATTTGAATTGTTTAGGCCTTGTTTGCGTATAAACAACTGGGTTTTTGTTATAAATATATGTTATTCAACGTCTGTAAATTTTAGCATAAAGATTAAATAATCTATATAAGCGCAAGTAACTTGTGGTATTACTGAATACTTTGAGTTACTGAATACATTAGCGATAGTCCTTCTATATTGGTGCGGGGCGATCGACATATAAAAAAAACCGCTTTTGAGTTACTAATTACGTTAACTAAAATTTTCCCATTGCAAAATTCACTCGGTATTTAAGACTTAACCATCTGAGTTTAAGCTTAAGGTAGTGCCTACCAGCCAACTTGTCAACCAGATTTGGTCTAAATACGGGCGGCAGACATCGATTTAGTGAACTCAAAATAGCTAGTGTGGTTGAAGGACCATCTTTTTCCTTGGCCTTATAGAGGATTTGATTAAGCGATAAACGGAATGATAGGACAGCAGTGTAATATTCACCGTCGCCATACTATTATGTACTTATGGGTTATCAAATAAGTTTGCACTTATTATACAATTTGACCTATTCTATGTGTGGTTTTTGTCGAATGATTCAATTATGGTTTCTGACTGTATGCGCACAATTTGTCGAATTATTTGATCTAATATACGGCTTACTATTACGAATCAATGTTTAGAATTAGTCAACACTATACTATACGTACGCTTTATCGAATGTTTCAATGATAATCATTGAATGAATCTTTCTGTGAGTAGTTGAAGGTAAATTCACACTATTCTTCATAATCTTTCTTCGACATTGGCCCAAGGTTGTGCAGTTTTTGTAAATGAGAATAAACGTATTCGATCAGATGTGTTATACGATTCTTCTTATGACAGTGATACATGCAACGTTTTTGAATAAACATCTGAAACTTTCAAAGTTTTACGTACGTGAGTGGAGTAGACGGAGTTTACATTGTGATATGATTACATATGACAGCAATAAACATTATAAAGTATAGTTAACTGTCATAATCGACAGTGCAGTAATTGTTACGTAATATTAATAGCAAACATAAATCGAAATTGAGAATAATACAACATAGAAACCAGATCAACGTGCAACGTTGTTTCTTTTTCGGGTTCTTTTTCTATTTCTTCTTTGCAACAGGGTGAATATCAATCATTTTTGTAGCGATCTTATCAAAGGTTAGTTCATTTGGTGAATCTAGGAGGAAAGACATCAATTGTAAAATTTAAGATAAAAAAGAGAATGAATAAAATATCCTTAACGTCCTCAAATTCAACAGTAGTCCCATCGAACTCTAAACCCCATATTACACGCCCAGTCCAAGACTCATTTGTCGCCCATTTCAATAATCCCCAAGTGACCATAAAACATTACACATTGAGGACCATTCGAACACACGACCGTAGCAGTCCAGGAAAAGAACTCCAGCGTGACTTTCCCCAATGGTAATGATATGATCAAACCCATGCTCCTTAATGATTTCCATATCACATATACAAGTAGAAGGATCCCCAGTTTCAAGATTACGGTTAAGATAATTTGCAACGCGTTTACGATCTTTTTTATTTGCGATCGTTTCGACTAACATAAATGGATTTTCCAGAATCTTGCAACCTTCTCGAGATTCATCCTGCTTTTCACCCTTCGTCACATGACACATGGTTTCAGGAATCCTTGCTTCGGTAGATTGAACGTTCGGGACTACAAGACGACACGGTGTCTTCGGCTGCTCTTTTGTCCATGCATTGCCCGCCAAGACACCGGTTCGGTGCCAAGGATATTTGCAACGATCGGATCAGATTCTCTCTTGGTTTGGGCAATATTCGAATGGCGCTATTGTAATATCGGTATAGTTCTCACCCTCAACATTGCTATTGATTTGCTGTTCTCATACAACATCTTGTTCATTTCCTGTTGAATTCCACTGCAAACTGACGCCCCGAACATAAACTTTACGATCTTCCCTTCTTTCATCGATGCCATTACATTTACTGCCGTTACATTTACTGCTCTTGGGCGACCCAACACATTCGGTTCCATCATCGCAATTTTGTCTGCCAAGATAATTAGCATTCTGAAAAATATTTCTTCTGGTCTTGAAGCTCCATTTCCTTGTAAGACTCCATTCTCATTATGTAGATTGTCCGAAGGAGGACTATGCATCCCATATGGTTATTATTGGAATTGATGGTTCTATCAACTGTCTCATCCATCTTTCTTGATTTAAATTGTTTAGCCAGGAACAAGCATATGATTGCAGTCGGAGATTTTTATTCTGGAAATCGATCGACGTCCATGTCCAATCATTTTTTATGTCCCAGACAAGCCACTGTGTATGTTATTGTGATACAACTATATTCTGACATCCTAATTTGGAATAGTCATCCAAGTTGATTATTTATTGCTTCAACTAATATTGATTATTCAAGACTTTAAATACACGTGTTATTAATCATATCATGCTATAATAATAAATATGGTGTAACATAATCAACTTAATAACATCATTCGCATTAATAGTACAATAGAAAATTAAATGACACCCTCCATGTTCTACACGTGCAAACGATTTTTGAGTCCCAGATAATTGTATAAAATCCATAAGTACACACACGTGACATTTTAAAAAAAGGTCAGCCAGTGATTCAATGCAATAGTGACATCAGTTTACTTATTAGTATATACTATGTATGGTGCAGGACATCTATGGCCCGAAATAAAATACCCAACTTTCAAAACCCTAAGGCTTTTATATTAGAGAGTTTAGAGAAAAACTAACTTGTAAGAATGATAGAGCAGAAGAAGCAAAATAAAAATTACGGTTTAAAATTTTTAATCAACTAAAAAGGTTTCGAGTTTTAGGCATTTGAAAAGCAACAGTTTTCCTAAAAAAAATGAAAATTTCGGACGTCCAGTCCAGTTTGTGCAACTTTTTGTGCAACAATACATTATCCAATAAAGCGGTAAGTTTCACATTATAATTATTGGTAACATTCTTTATTGTTTTACCATGCCTCGACCTAAAAGAAAGCCGCACATAAGTGTCTCGAGATAAGAGGCAAATTTATTAAAGAAGATGAACTCAACCTGATTGATACAGAATCAAGCACATTTGAACGGGATTGAGCGATGATTTATCAAGTGAAAAACTTTGGAAAACAATGAGATAAGTGATTAGGAAAGTGATTTTGACCTGGAATTTGAAGTGTCGTGGACAAAGTGTTGTAATTTTCAAAAAGCTGAATTCGGCATTACGATTTCAGAGAAATTTATTGGGTAAATGTCATGTGATGATAAGTAATCTGCACCATAGTAATAGTAAATACATTGACATAAAATATTTGCTAAAATAATAAACCTTTAATCACATTTTCCAAATTAAGCGAAGATAACATAAACGCCATAATACAATCAATAATTGTTGTAAATAGTTGCTCGACACTCCTTATTTATGAAGTTCCCGACAACGACTACGTCTCTTTAATATTATCAAGCAATACGGATGTAGACGACATAGATGATAGTGAGGAAAGTCCTGTTATTAGCGCTAGCACAGCAATCGCTGGCTTGAAAATAGTGCGTGCCTTTCTTTTACAACAGGACAATGCGGAAAATATATATAACCTTTTTACAAAATATTGAGAAGTTTGTTGAAGTCAAGAAAACAAGCTAATGCGTCAAACTAAGTGTAGATGTGATAATAAGATGTATTCAGTGAGGGCATAGTTAGATACCGATATTAAATATCGTTGGTTGTACGTCTATTATATTGGTTTATGTCATCTACAATCCCAAATATGGTATTAAACTTATTTTTATTTAAATCACGCTGTTCAACAACTATATTGTGCAGATACTGTTAAATCATCACAAAATTTCTTCGCCCTCTTCCTCTGCCTTGATTACTTTATCATCTACTACATCCGAATTGTCCCAAATATGTGCAGAAGTAGATTCTACAATAGTATACATATCAAAATGTCAGTGTTGAATAATATACAAGATAAAATTAAACAAGGAATTGCTTATATCTAGCATTAGCATTGCTAGTTTCAAAACTCAACCCCTCCTCAGCTTGTAAACTTGGATGTCTCAAAAACGGATAGACTTTCGTATATGGAAAGTTTGTATATAAGAGATTCCGGTATAAACAAAAAATTTTCATATGAAACGAACGGTGCGCAAGAACCAGTGCGCTCTCACCAGTTTATCGAGCCAATCGATTTGGAAATTGCAAATAAAAATTTGGTAATACATAGCAAAAAATGGTAATATCATCTAGCCGTCTGATGGCTTGATGAATCGTCTTACCCACTGATGGCTCGATGCCAAATTTGGTCAAAATAACCATTTAAGGATATATACGTGATATTAATTT